CTACACTGTATACACCCACGCCATGACCAAGGAACTAAGTGGCCCATCTCATTTCCTATCAACATCTCTTTTGTTGTAATTTTAAACTATCCCAGGGATAGAACTACCCTAAGAACTTTTTAAAACTATTACATAAGGGCCACGTGCACTTGGAGATTTGAAGCCTGCACATATTGACACCCTCACGCGTGAACGAGTTAAAGGTCGCGAGTGATCGCAACTAAATTAACGCATGATTAATGCAAACCCGTGAACCCCAAGGCCTGTCTTCCTATGGGGTAGGCGATTTTTGGTGCTTCTTATTACCGAGGAAGTTTATCAGACTCTCTCATTGTCTTCGTATTTGTTAGTTGTCATAGCCCTCGGAAGTAGACGGTCGCGCCGCTCTTATTGGTCCCGGAAACTGCGCAGAAGCTTCCACCCAGGGAGAAACCAAATTTTGCTGCGTAATGGGAAGTGCGCATTGCACTCGATGCTAATTGCACGTGTGAAGTACACAAGAACGCCAGTCCTCAGGGAGGGAATGTTGCGAGCGTAACTGGGAGTATTCATTACATTGCTTGAAAGTCAGACGTCGTTTCTAGACACTCTTCGAGGACTCAATACACGACTATTAGTAACCGAGGAGTGTATGTAAGTAGCTGAAAGGCTTGTGAAATACGTCTTTTCTTAGATTCGCTTCTGTAGTTTCGCTGTAGTTGTTTTCATCGTCTAGTTTATTTTTCTCTTCGAGTACAAGTTAGTGGTTGTTTACACAGAAAGATGAAATCGCTACTCTTGATACTGAGTTGCGCAGCGATTGCGTTTGCCCAGGAGACATGCGGCCCTTGCAAACAGTCCGAATGTCGCAGACCGTGGGGCTGTGTCGCCGGCACGATGAAAGATCGCTGTGGGTGCTGTGATATTTGTGGCAACCGGGAAGGTATGCGATGTGACGCGGACGTAGTGATAAAGCATGATCCGAGCAAATACAAATACGGTAAATGTGGCAAGAACCTTGTATGCAAACTTCACCACAATTCTAAACCTGAGTACGGGATAGAAACGGTTTGTTATTGCAAGTATGACGATATGGTCTGTGGGACGAACGACAAAACGTACGACAACGTGTGCCAGATGGTAGCGGACGGTTACCGATACGGGAAACAGATTACAGTGAAAAGCAAAGGACCCTGCACTAGCGGTGAGTAGATTCCAAATTCTTTGTGAACTTGACTATTTTATATACTTTATATGATTCGTATTTAAGCATGGCTTTGTCGTAATGTTTACGATCTGGTAAACTGGCATCAGCGTGAGATAGACGGTTTAGTGTGTAATACAATACTACACAAATTACACCACTTTGGCCGTGACTGTTCACATTCAACCCCCTGTGTTGTCGCAAGTTTGTTTACATACACAGAATCGAACACTTGACCCCCTCTCGTGACGCGTAGTTATTTCTTTTGCCTTTGATACAATTTCCTTGTAAGGGATTTCTCGAGTCATTGAAAACTGCGAAAGGGCGACGACAAACTGAAAAGTCTCGAACAAAACGAAACACTTATGGAATTAGAATAAATCTTTGCGCGGGATATGTTTATTTATTAGTTATTTAATCTAATAAGCCTATGACAACACTCACTGGCTTATTCAGCTTAGTGTAAGAGATAACAGATTTCATCGCATTCTCATCAAGTGCGCGATATATGCTGCATAGTAACCACTAGTATATCATACTGATAACAACTGCCTGCCTGAAGACATTTGGATAACTTGTTGCCTCCGGGACTCCATTCACGTTGGTAAATTGGTGCTTAATACGTTATTTGTCCACGGGATAACTGACCTCAATGATCTTTCTGTAAAAAAAGTGATACCAGCTCACCGATTCCGGCGACATAGTCTGAATTTACAGAGTATAGCGTTTGAAAATAAACACTGTCTCCGGCCCACAGAGAGGCTAACAAATTGCTGGAAGACGTAACCAAATTCTAGTATATGTTATATAAGTGATATCGTATTTCTCGTATTGGAGTTGGATATTGTACCGCGAGTGTAGAGGAAATAGTTTATAATTTGCGTAAATGGCCAAAAGGAAAGCGAGTGAGAAGGGAAAGTAAATGTTATAATATTTATTCTGTAATCTTTTTTTGTGTGTGATTATATGTGACGTAATGTCATAGCTTGGTTACTGCAAATTGATGGTTAGACCATATGTGACTTTTACAAATTTGACGCAATTGCCTTATATAACGCCGATAAACACCATCACTTATATGACGTATATTTCAATTAGCATACTCAACCCAACAACCCCTGCTGTCAAATTTATATCAGTATAAGTCTCTCCCCCAAATAAACGACAACTGCAATTTCAAAACCGTGGGAATGTGTTCGGAAATCTACACTTTAAATTGTTGGCGTTCCCATGCCACAATGTCCCTTACCTCAATAAGTCGCGCTGATTTCCTCATTTGGGAATAGAACACCAACATGCACGTTGGCCGCAAAATTGAGAGAAACTTAAGGAGTTAGTAGAAATGTACACCATCCGTGGCTTAAGATTCACAGAAAGAAAACAATCCTGCCACTATACGGTAAATAGTGTCATTGCATATTTGTGTTGTTGTTTCAATGCAACTTAACGCTAGGAATTCAAACTACGTATGCTGAAAGACGATAAACTACAGTTGAGTACGACGGTCCCCTGGAATGACGGCAATTACTAGACTTTCAGTGGTCTTTAGATACGGAGCGTGGAATGTAAGAGTATAGGGGGGGTGAGCTTGGCAATATGTTTGAGTATTGACTGTCACACTCAGCATGCCGTGATGTGAAAGCATTCTTTAACGTTAATTCTCCTGCTTGTATTATTATTGTCACAGTATGCATCGGTTTTATTTGACACATGAATGAAGCAGATCCACCGTGGCTTATTGTTGTTTTTATTAAATAAACAAACGGAAACCAGACAAATAAATAAATAAATAAATAAATAAATAAATAAATAAATAAATAAATAAATAAATAAATAAATAAATAAATAAATAAATAAATAAATAAATAGTGAGTTCTAGTCTATCAGAAAATGGGCCACGCTCTGTGTAAACACGGTGAGTTCTAGTCTATCAGAAGATGGGCCACGCTCTGTGCAAAAAACAGTTACTTCTAGACTATCATAAGATGGGCACGCTCTGTGTAAACACGGTGAGTTCTAGTCTATCAGAAGATGGACCACGCTCTGTGTAAACACGG